AGGTCAATGGGTCAAGTTTCTCCTATCGAAGTCGGATGGGAAAAATTTGCATTGTTTCATTTCTTTCTCCGATCCTATCTGCTTAACACAGCAGCCAACCCTATAATCTACAGCGCATTAAATCTAAATTTTCGGAAAGAGTGTCTTAAGATTGTTAGTACAATGTGTAATTGTATTGGTTCGGGGAAAGAAAACAAAGACAATGACTTGCCTTTGAACACAGAAAACTATTCGGCGTTTGTCGTTAAGGTTTGATTTGGTTAATTTGGTTCAATAATTTGGTTTTAGTAAGTAGGCCGTGCAGAATCAAACCATTTTTTATTGTACAAGACTTGAGTTAAAAAAACGATCATGTGTATATGCCACACACTTCTCTTCTTATTCTGAAATCATGGAGACATTTTTTAACCACTACCCTAAACTGTTATATTTAAAAAGATTAATTTTTTTCTACTTAAACTTTGTGATTTCATCTTAAAATGCTGTAATTGTATTAACATTGTTAAATTTTTAATAAAATAATCAGAAAACACACTTTATTTTAAAAACAATTTATAATGCATCCTTGAAAACATAATTGACCTCTTATACAAATTGTGTATGTTTTCGTTTACACGCTATTTTTAGCGCGCTGAAAAATCCGAAATAGACTTTCGGTTTCTTTCTGTTCGCATCACGTACGTTCCTAATAGTTAATACTTATAGCTTAGATTAGAATGTTTTTAAGTAGTAGTTATAGTAAATGAATCATTTTCTTAAAAATACATAGACTCTTATGGCGTTGATTTTGAATGACACAATCAATTTATAAAAAAGTAATTTATTTTAAATTAAATGTGATGTAACATTTAAATGAAGCATATTATATTCCTTTAAAATGACAACAGTTTTAGAGATGGGTAGGAGAGTGGGATCTGCTGTAATAATTTTAAATTGGTGTCGTTTTGGTGCTTATAACGGATGATGATGGTATTAAAAGAGAATTGCCACGTAAAATCGACTGTCCATTAACTGATTAAATAAACGTGATAGCATTGTTGATTTCGTGGTTATAAAAGTATTAATTTCTCATGTTTGGCTACTGTTTGCTAAAAACAGTATATCTTTACAAGCTGACAGTCGATATATTAAGTTTAAATCAAATCCATGTGCCCATACAAAAGCAGTAAAAAACATTGAGTCTTCGTCGTTTTTCTAGGCTAACAAATAATAAAATTCATGTTTTATTCTATAAAATATAGGGGCAAATGAATGTATATAATGAAGACTGTAAGTGAATGGTATGCTGATGTTAGGGATAAGGTATAGAGGATAACTGTATCATCGAACATACGTGTCAGATTGTTTCTAACAAACTACAGGAGACGATTATGTTGTTACCTATTTTAAAATGAATTTAAAAAATGATATTTTTTTCTTAGAAAAACAAATTGCAAGTAATAAAAAGTAATTAAAAATTACTCATTACATCTCTTTTATAAACACACTATAATTTATTAAATAAAATATTCTTTCACTTCACAAATAAAAATGCGGAAAATTAATAAACATGTAAAACTGTCTAATGATAATAATCATTGTTTTACTGAAAGTATATTCACATTTGATACGAATTTTGTGTTCTTAACTGTAAATTATATTGAAAGAAAGCTGTTGTTTGAAATTAAAATAATTCAATATTCCGATTAGTTAAAACCCGAGTCTTTTTGTAAATAATAATGTTCCATTAAAAAGTGACAAACAATATGTACTGTAAATTCATGTTGCATAAGGAGAATGTACTTGAAGTAACTCTGTAAAAGTGATAATAAATCCCTGACAGCAATAGAATTCCTGCACAATCACACTAACCCCACAAACCGAGCGTAGGCCCCCAAAACCCTACTACTACGCCCACCTACTAGCGCAACCTCCCACCAACCTACTGAAGACCCCCACCAACCCACCGCAGGCCCCACCAACCTACAGGCTTTACCAAACTACTGCACACTCCTAAAAACCTCCCACCAACCGACTGCAGGCTTTATTCAACCTAATGAATACATATCGACAATCGTTGCTCATTATTATCTGCTTTTACCCCCCCCCCTCCCCGTCCCAGTATACGCTAATACTCTTTCCCATTACAAACATACACCCACCTGTATTCATGAACATTGAGGCAAAGTTATAAACGTTTTTTTTTTTACATAACTAAGCTGTTTATCAAATTCACTTTGTGATGCTTTTATTGATTGAAACAATCTTCAGGCAAACACTGAAACATAACGAGGGTATTTCCAAGAATCACTAAGTATAAGGAAACTCTAAAGTTTACCTACTAGCCATTTAAATGCTATTCAAATATTTAGCTTATGACTGTTAGATAAAAAAAAACAATGTTTTGACAGGAAGAAAATTGTTCTTGTATGCGTAAAAACAAATTTTCATGACAATGACACACGGTGTAAGATGAGTTGTTGTAGTTGCTGTGGCCTACATCAACACGTGTGTGTCACCGGATGTTGATTCACAGGTGTGTAGCAAGGTGTTTGTTGCCGCAGGTATTTTGTTGTCTACACTAAACAAAGGTAGGTACAGCATAGGTGTTAAGGAAAATAAAATTATGATACAAAACATGTAGGACTTATGTTTGTGTTAAGGTGGTTTTATTGATTTACGATGTATTTTTAAAATATTTTTAAAAAATATTTTTAAAAAAATAATTATGAAGTAGTATCTCACTGAGTGAAAGTAATCATTTATGCAGCATTGTTCATTCGTTGAAGTGTTCGTTATGCGAAACATGATTTCCTATAGTCGCACGTGTAAGTCTCCTTGACGGTTTTGTGACATAAAGTTAGTGTTTCCTTCTGACATTTTTTATCATTTCCTAAGGAGGGGGGTGGGAGATAATTGAACTTTTCGGGGCCCTCTTAAATTTCTGGGATGAGGGGAGGGGGCGGCACTGGTTAAGTTATGTATCGCCTATACAAAATATGTTGTTTTCATTTCATTAGAATGGTGGGGCAATCTTACCCCCGGAAAGATCCCTGGGAGTTTATCGACTATAGTTGGGCGTAGTCGAGTCGGTAAAGCCCATGGTTGCTAAACCGAAAAAGTCTCGAGTAAGAACACTCGGACAGATGGGGCTCGACAGAAGTAGACAACAACTCTAGGAGAGACAACTCAAAAATCAAACAACTGCTGCCTTGTATTTTCTTCTTGGTTGGACAAAGGCTATGAAAGCAAAGCAAAAAGAAAAGCATGCTAAATTCGGAGACAACGGCGTATATGGTGTATGACAAGTCAGAATGACTTACACCTTTTCAACTACTTTTTAACTTAAATAATGTCGAACAATATTTTAAGTTAAGTTTTGTTCCATTTAATTATACAATATTTCGATTCCATATTTCTTCTTCGTGTATTACCAACTTTTAATCGTTGTTGTTTGTTTTTTGTTGTGTTTTTTAAAATATTTTAAAAAGTACTTAAATAATTATATCAGAAAATGTGGTATAGGGAAACGTGTCTGCTATATTTGTCTTAGTATTCTTTCATTTCACAAAAGTTACTTTTTTTTAAAAATGTAGGGTACAATATATACCAAAAAATAACACATTTCTTTTATAACTGGTATTGCACTGTACAAAATCGATCTATTAGATTTTATTGATAATAAAAGTTAACATTATAAGTTATTTATAGTCTCAATTAAAAAACATCCTTATCTCTTGTTTACACTTACTCGCGTACCAAGTACAGAGGAAGTATTGTAAGCGTGCAAAAAATCCAAATCAAGATTTTTACTAATCTCGACGTTTTAAAACTTAGATTTTCAATCTTGTCCGTCCGTTTTTCATTGATTTCCGGTAACCGGAAGTGGCACTTCTTCAACTTTCAGTTTTTGAAAATCCTATAACTTGATTAATCATTGATTACTCTTTGAGTTAGGTAGATGAAATTTCACATGCGAGTAAAAGATCTTATTCTCTGGGTATTCTCAAATTTTGAGTGATTTCCAGAAAATTGAAGTACTACTTTACGCTTAAATGATTTCTCCAAAAACCATAAGGAGTTATTTAACTATCTAGTGCCTGTCATGGGCAGAAAGCTATGTGCTGAATCTTGATCACTTTTACCGGACCGATTAGTTTTAAACTTTTCATGAATGTCAAGACTCACAAAAAAAATAATGTTACTTATTTAGATGATTACTTAACTTTAAAAAAAAATTAATCAAGGTTTTCTTCATAAAATACTACTTTTCCGCAGTAGTATACATACATTGTTTGCTGTTCATTTGGTGCGCAATGTTTTTTCTACGCGATTCTATTATAATTAAAAATTTAAATATTTAATAACTGATTTAAAAAAATCTTTTTATAGCCCGACTGAACTGGTGTCGCCTTCCCCTTTAGTGATATATTTGACATATAAGGGAGATCACTCCCGTTTTATTCTAAATCATATCCAAAAGTGTTATACATAATTACTGCAACAATGTGACTCATATTTAAGCTTTGTAGAGGCATACCGGAGATGTTTCTGGTAGGCGAAAGCACTTACATAGAACAATACTGACTGACTCATTGATTTCACTGGATTTTTTAATTGACAAAACGCCTAAAATTTGCACGGGAACCTTATATTTACTGGGTACGTTGACGAAATTAAAAGTGTCTTGTGTCTATGTGTGTATGTACATTATATATATATATATATATATATATATATATATATATATATATATATATATATATATATATATATATATTATATATATATATATATATATATATATATATATATATTTTATATATATATATATATATATATATATATATATATATATATATATATATATATATATATATATATATATATTCATTTATTTATACGTATGTATGTATTTATTCATTAATTTATATAATGATTTAATGGAAATTGTATGTATTTGAAGGATTATTTCAATATATTTAAAAGTGAATTGCTGCGGACCCATTGCTCTGTCCACTAATGATAAAAAGCGTTTTTTTTTTAAATTAACTACATGTGTATTTATTCCTTTTCCAAAGTAATGACAAAGTAGTTTTTCCTTTACTATTATTTCTACAGTTTATATCATCGAACTTAACCTTAAAATGACGGGGGTCGGCATTCCAAAAAACCACACTTCAGAGGATATAAGAAATTACCTCGACTCGCTACAGGGAGTGACGACACTTGCAATGGTTCCCTCCATGGTTTTTCTGGCGATTCTAGCTATTGTTGGACTTGTGGGGAACTCGCTGGTCTTGGTCGTGTATTCCAGAAAGTTCAAAAGGAACGCGATGAGAATCTTTATCATGACGATGGCGTGTTTCGATCTGCTCTCCAACGTGGTCATTATTCCAGGTAAACATTTGGAGAACTTTACCGTTTTCCGGCTAGAGTCTTTGGGACGTCTTTGAGTTTAACTAGCTCTGATGAGTACCTGAATCATTTTAGGGAAAGTAAAGGCGGCTGTTATAGTGTTGACCACACTATCCCTTTGTATTATCAGGTTAACTTAACTCTACTTTACCTGCAACAAGCAGCTCTGAAGTGTACATGGCTCATTTTAAGGCTATCACACGGGCAAATTGTTGTTTTAACCAGAGTTTTATGTTTTTCCATCAATTCATGAACAATCTACAGTGAGAAGAAGAATTTACGTCGAAACTAAAATAAAATAGTAAATAATGTATTTAAACACTCTCTTATTAAAATAAATATCCAAAACGTATAAATTCTTAGTTGCCGAAACTATAAAAGCATATTTCTTTAGAAAAATAAAAATTATAGTTCATTTTGTTTTGTGTGACATATTTTTGTTTTATAAACGAAATAAACTTTATACATTATCAGTGGTAAAATGTCATGTTTTTTTTTTAAGTGAAAATTTGGAGTACATGTGTAATAGGTATTACATTATCATGAATCATATATTTAAAAGGTTCAAATATTGTTAGAGTAAAATTGTAAAACTTTCTAGAATAGCAATCAAAGCTTAAATACATTTTTGTTTAAGCTTGTTTTTACTCTCTAAATTAATACAATGCTTTGTTTAACATAGTTCTATTACATTTACAGGAGATTACTATGAAATATTTCATCACTGGGACTTTGACAAACCCATTTTGTGCCGACTTAGGATGTATTCGTACACCGTGGCAGGCATAGGATCATCGCTCTCCCTCATTGGTATAGCGGCCACTAGGTGAGGGATACAATAACGTTTTCGTTCTCTTTGTCTATCACTATCTCTCACTCTCTAACTCTCTGTCTTTCACTCTCTGTCTATCTTTCTGTCATACCGTTTATAAAAGTATCGAACATTTTTTAAAAGGTGGAGTATTTTTTTCCGGGTTTCCATGATAAACGAAATTGTTTTCAAACCCCTTTTGGTGCCGAACATGGTAAAAATATTTAAAAGGCTTCAAATCTTATGTTGTAAAATGAATAATAAAAAAAAACGGCAAGTGTTTGTGTTGAGATTTTGTTAGATCTTGCGTTAGTTACATGTGGGACTAATGTAACACGTTTTGAAAAGAGATGATGTGAAGTGTGATATTGTTGCTTAGCCTTCTGTTTACTTAAGTTAGGAGCTTCCTTCTTAATTCACCAAAGTAAGAAAAAGCAACGTATGGTGAAGAAGGCACGATCTATAATTTCCGGTTGATTCTAAGGCGCTCTGATTTGTATTTAAATTACTCTAGGACGTAGTGGGCTTGCTCTCTTAATAAATATATACCTCCTTTTGATATTGCTGATCTTAATCATATATCTATTATATAGATTAATTCAAATCCTTAACTATATTTTATATAATGAGCTAATAGTAATAGCTTTAAAGAGGGGCAGAGTCTTAAACTATGACATACTAAAAATTTTTTTCAAATACTTTGTTTACATACAATTAAATATTTCAAATTTATTTAATTTTCATTGTTACATTTTATATAATTGCATAATTGTATAATTGTACTTTTATTCCAGGTATCGTAAAATCAGTCAACCATTTTCTACCCAAGTAACTACTTCTCTAGCCGCGGGTTTAAGTGTCACCATCGCCATTGTCTCCTTCACCTTTGCCATCCCTTACTTTATCCTCAACGGCGTCCAGACCAAAGCAACTGAAATCCAAGGCATTGAAGGCCACAGCTGTACCATAGACGACCGCTACCTTAACACTATCTGGCCAAAACTGAACGCCGGGTTTTTTATGTTGCTTTTTGTAGTAACAAGTACGACAATTGTTGTGACGTACTCGCTGATTGGGATGAAGACAAGGGGACATAGGAAAAAACGTAGCAACATGAAAGTGCCTCCACAGAAAGCAGTAGAGATGACAGTCTCTACAGAAATGTCAGGTTGTTCTGAATCTACCAACAAGAACATATCGAAAGATGAGAAATCAGAACAAGATCTTAACATTCCAAGACAGAAACAGAAGTTAAATGTTGAAGTTCATGCAACTCCAAACTCAGTTGAAAATAAGTTACCCCATTTTTTAGATAATACATCCACGGGAATACAGAATAGTGAAACTGTTGGAACGATTCAAGGCAAGACAATGAAAATAAAAAGGTCGATTATTGAATTGGGTGTTGAAGAACAAAATCAATCAAGTCATTGCACGATTGATAAGAAACAAGTCCAGACACCAGAGGCTTCTGTACAGAGCTTTTCTGAAGACATCACCAGCGAAACTCTGAACGACTCTATTCAAAGAACAACAAGCGGTACCCTAGTCTCCAGTAGAAATGCCCATTACACCTTAGTCAAGAGACGTCAGAAAACATCTGCGCGTTGTGGAGTGGACAGAACGACGTGCATGCTGCTGACCGTTAGCTTAATCTACGTCCTCAGCTTTCTCCCTTTCCTCGCCATGGAGCTCTTACGATCGTTTATCCCCGTCTCCCTGATCTCTCTAGGCCCGATCAAGTTCGGGCTGTACCACCTCTTTCTTAGATCTTACCTGCTCAACACGGCCATGAACCCTATCATCTACAACCTGTGTGACCTCCACTTTAGACGTGAATGCTCCAAGCTATTCCTTCAGGCATGTGCCTGTACTAGGTCACATAAATGAAACTCAGATCAGATTCGATAGCTTACAATTGCTTCAAACTTTCCCAATATTTCTGTGCATGCTTTAAATCACATAAATAAAACTCAGATCAGATTCGATAACTTATGAATGCTTTAAACTATTCCACCATTTCTCTGCAAGCTTTAAATCACATAAATAAAATTGACTGAAATTTTGTTAGCGTATGTGTGATCTAAACAATTTCATCGTACTTTGGCTGTCATGTAAAAAAAGAGGTGGGTATGAAAGCTGCTAGAAATAACAATTGCAATGCTAGATGAATGTGGGCAACATGCTAGAGAAAACGTAGGATATGACAACACTCTATCAGCTTTATGATATCTATGTAGACTGCATAGTCGCCCACAGAAAACATTAATGACTTTTTTTTTAAAGCACAATGTAATTAAACTATTAATCATAGATTTAAGTGTATCGTTGAGTGTATTTTATCTCAAAAAATATATTTATATTTTTTTTAATTAAAAATGTAGTAATTATTGAATTAGTCATGTTAAATGTGAACTTTATAATCATCATAAATCTTAATTTATTTGAAAAAAAATTTTGATACAGCATTTAAACATTACCATCCCCACCCTCCAATAACATCATCTCCACTACAGTTTCGATTAAATGCTTAGATCAACACGCAAACCATTACTGACATGCATTTTTTTCTTCAACTGCCTCGCGATCATTTCTGCACAGCTTGCTGAGCACCTTCATTTGGGGAACGTCGTGGTCTAGCGCGTGCTAACCCAAAAGTGAATCCCCACCTAGTATAAGCGGTCTCAAGACAGAATCGGCCCTCATGTCCATACTAGCTGGTGCAATGCACTGTAGGAGGACGGAAAAGTCTGGCGGAAACACATGTGTTTAGCGGCTGGTAATATGGGTGAGAGAAATGCTTTTTCGGGTGAACTCTACTTCACCTGTCTCGTGAACGTTCAGATTTGAAAGGAAACTTTACTTTTTCTTATATCTTTACCAGTCTGCCTGACAACTGAGCCGGTGATGAAGGTATAAGAGAGAGGAAAAACAATTTTGTATGACTTCTCAATGTATTATACATCACAACAATAAAAATTGCAATTATAAAACTCTTGTTATTCATTTTTAATGAATGTAAAATGGTCGATGTTCTTTTATTTGTGTTATTATTTTTTTTTAAAATTTGTACTCAAATTAACCTCAATGGTGAATTGCGATTTTAAAAAATTCTGCTAGTTTTACTGATGGTAACAAGGCTAGGGGGGCATCCATAAACGATTCCACATTGCTAGGGGATAGGGGGTGGGGGTGGGGAAGGGGGCTCGGAAAGTGTGAAGACACACATTTGCTTTTCAAATAAGTAATGTTAGAATCTTAATTGTTACCGTTACTTCGACTTTTTGAAATACATTTTCTAAATATTCAAAGAGCTAGGAGATTTTTTTTTAAAAATCGATTTAAACTTCAATTTTAAAAATATTTGTGTTCGTGTGTGTGTGGGGTGGGGGGGGGGGGGGGGGGGGGTGGTTGTAGGCGAAAAGCATTTTTTACAAAGAATCAAACTCAAGCCCATAACATTTGATTAAGTAACATAATAAGATATTAATCGACTGGGTGTGTTGGAATTGTGAGCCAGCGAAGTGTCTGCTAAATGTTTAGACTTTAATCGTAAAGTACTTCAGTTGGCAATTTAGATTTTCAATGGACAACTTGAAATCATCTTAAGTTGACATTGTTCTGTCTATAGGTTAATTTTAAATTAACGAATGCAATAAAAACAAAAAATCTAAACATTATTCTGGTTTATATAAAATAGTTAACAAAGTTAGAAGGTTTAAAACATTTCGTTTTATAAGTGAGTTCTATTGACTTAATTGAAACAAGCTTAGACATGTAATTTTATCTAAACAAACCACGAATATTTTACATAATAAGCAGCCACCTCTTCCGCACACACACACACACTAACACACACTTATACACACACACACACGAATATACACACATACCTACACCGATCATGGATGAGTAATAATATACTCACTATAAGAACATATGTCATTTACTTCAAAAGCACATTAAAGAGCATTTTCAAAATTTTTGCTTACACATACAAGTATTATTCGATGCCTCTTTTATGTAAAGTTTAATTAATTGGATCACGCTAAAAAAACGTGAAAAGATTTTTTAACACAACAGATAGAAAAAAACAATTACACTTTTATTGTATATTAACATAAACATAAGTGATGATTACACAAGGATTTACATCTTTTTTTTCTCGAAAAAGAAATCCTTCAAACTTCAAACTTTTGAACTTCAGTATACTGTAGATACTAAAGCACATCTTGGTCCGGAATACAATGTTTTATTTATTTGTATAACACGTAATATCATAAACAGAATGTAGTATTCACTATTTCAAATTGTGTTGTCATACACGGACACTGCTCATAATTATCATGTAATTTTAAAAACTTAAACTTTGGTAAGTCGTATTGCAGATACATTTTACCATATTTATGTTATCCTGAAGCGATACTTAGAACATTAGTATTGATCCAATATTTTAGTTCATTTCGCTATTAGAGATAGGCAATGTATAAGGCTAATTCTCTAATCAATTTAATTGTTAATTTAGAGGAGGTTTCAAGACAATTTGATACCATAATTTTTTATGTATAAAACTACAAGAACTATATTGGTTCCTAATGTTAATTATGTAATGAATTTAGCCAGAATTTGTGATATTAAGGTGTGTATATTAGCTCTAGGGACGTTTTAAGTTGACAGTATAAATATAGTACATACCATAGATTCTAACTTAAGATCTTAGCCTAATTATAACCTTTACCTTGATATTAAATCTAGTGGAAAGCAAAATGAATATATAATAAATAATTTTGATTGCGCGACAAAGGGTATTTTGAAATCCCCACAAAAGACTTGTTCTCAGAATGGAGTGCAACGTGTCCACAAATCCTAACGTGTCCAGAAACTACACAGATGACGAAAGAACATGCTATCTAGCACATCTCCAACTCTACTCCACCTACACCATGATACCCGCCATCATTTTTCTGGGTGTTCTCTGCGTCGTTGGAATCATCGGGAATTCCATCGTCCTCTTTGTTTACTCACAGAGGTTCAGGAGTACAGCCTCTGGTACCTTCATCATGGCGATAGCTGTCTTTGACTTGATGGCTAACATAATGCTCATTCCAGGTGAGATCACAATCTGGCATGGACTGTGTGGGCAAACGGTAGAGCTTAAGTCTGCTAATCCGGAAATTTGTATAGTTCAGTTCTCGTGCAAGGCGTTCCTGAGTCCACCCATCTCTAATAAGTACCTTGCTCACGTTTGGGAAACAAAGACTACTGGGCATAGTGCTGACCACAATATCCTCTTGTATACTGAGGTAATTGAAACAGATGAATTCTACTTCATCTGTCCTTTGTGTTTAGGACTCTAACTAAAAAAGATGATGTACAAGCTGACACCATTTAACATGCATGATACCTATGTGTTAGCTGGGTGGGTCTAGAGATTATAAATTGACACCATTCAACATTTTAGCACGTACTTTATAATTACCATTGTAATACCGGAAATATGATGTGGTGTTGTAAAATTGAACGAAGTTAACTATATTAGTTTTCTTTGTTACTAAATTCAAATCGAAAATTTAGTAATGCAATTTGCAAATGCTTTCATATTTCGTAAATCTGAAACAATTACATACATCTAATTAATTGTGTGAAGCTCATAACCTTCACCCTCATCAAAATATGTGCCTATCTGTTGTTCATGTGATGTATTGTAAACTTTCTAGGTGACATTCACAGTATGTTTCATCACTGGGACTTTGACATGGTTTACCCTTGCAAGTTACGTCTGTATGGACATGCAGTAACCCACGGGGCATCGTCATTATTCCTCGCGGCCTTGGCAGTGACCAGGTTAGGTATTCAGTATTATCAAGAAAGCATTACTTTAATGCAAAGAGATACAGCTGCTGCCTTGTAGTTCTTTCTTTGTTGGACAAAGGCTATGGAAGCAAATCTAATAAGAAAAGCAGGCTGAAATTGAAGCCGACGTCCTGTCTTAAGCATAAAGGGGGGACCAATAACACTTAACTGTGTTGATCGAAATCCCTTCCAACCTCAAGGAAAAAGAAGAAATGAGTTCAAACATTTTCATCAAAATGACCTTACCATTAAATTAAGAACAATAATTATTGTTTAAAGTAATACGTTTAAGTGTATTTTATAAACCAACAAATATCAATTTTAATTTTGTAGAACGTTTGAAATGCTGATTTTAAAAAATGTGTCTGAATTTATCTTATAATTATTTATTTTTAAGCTAAAAGAAATAACTTTTTTAAAATCGGTAATTATTGTGTCTCCAGGTATCGAAAAATTTGCAAACCATTTTGCAATCAAGTGACTGTAAAACAAGCAAGAATTACTTGCATTGGGCTCACTTTCTTAGCAATAGTCCTTTCTATTTTATACTTTATAATCCAAGGCATACAGAAGAAGAAAACGCCGAATCCAAACATTTTTGGCTACGTCTGTTACGTTGACGATAAATTTAACGGAACTGCATTGCATAAAATAAACACAACTCTTTTTGTGTTATTTTTTATAACTGTATCTAGCCTCCTTGTTGTGTTGTATGTAAAGATTTGGTTTAGAGCGAAACGGCATCATAACCGTAAACCAAGCACACACGCAAGGGGAGTTTCTGAACAGGAAACGGAAATGACAAGTTTTGCAGATGTATCTTTCGAACCGACATCCAACACATTCACGAATACAGCCTCAACTTTGGAAAGCGTCAATGGAGCAATACAAGCAGGTAAAAACATCAAAATACACGAACCATCGACGTCATTATCAAGTAAGCTTCTTGAATTTAAAAGAAGGAAACGAAATACAATGCTAATTTCAAGTTTTCGTACTGTTAAGGAATTATCCAAGTACCAACACAGGGACCCTGAAAATATCGAACCTGAACAAAGGGATAGGGCTAACTCTATTAGAAACAAAGCACTATCTAAAAGTTGTGAGTGCGTTGATTTTATCCCTTCTGCAGGCAACCCATCGCCCCATCAAACTAGCTACACATCCATATTAAAGAAATCAGCGAGTTCTGCTAACCATTTCGCAAGCGACCTCCAGATTTTTAAGTCTTATGAAAAAGTCGAAACAACTAGACTAAAAAGATCAGTTACTCTGAGTACCTTTGATATCAACAAAAGTTTCAGCGCGGAAAATAAAAGTTTAAAGATAAAAACCAAAAGACCAAAAAGACGTCGAGGTTCAGGAAGGATCACTTGTATGCTGGTGACCATCAGTTCTATCTACATTTTAAGCTTACTCCCCTTTATGGTGTTCAACGCTATAAAAACAGTCGCTCCGGAATTTCCCGAATCCATGAACTTTCACGTACAGAGCTTGTATCACTTTTTGTTTAGATCGTATTTGATCAACACGGCTGTCAACCCCATTGTGTATAGTTTTTGTGATGTCAAGTTTAGAAAGGAATGTCTGAGTCAATTTAGAAGCCTAACTTGTCATTAAACAAAAGTATGAGTAATATATACATACATATATATATATATATATAAATATATATATATATATATTAACTGATATATATGACTATAAGTATTAATACATATGTAGGAATACACTTATAAATTATACCATCCACTATATCGTCAACTCTACCGTCCACTCTACTATCCACCCTACCATTCACTGTACCATCCACTCTTCCATTCACTACTACATCGACTATACCCTCAACTATTGTATCAACTATAATATCTACTCTACAATCCACTATACCACCCACTCTACCATCCACTCTAAGATACACTTAACTTTCCACTATACCATTAACTATGCACTCCATTACACCAGGATTATTCCAAAATGAACGCATGGCACTTGTAATTATTTTAAGGATTTTTATCATCTAATCTCTCATTTAAGTAAAATCTGACCAAAAATTAAAGTCTTAATGTTATTGTTACCGAAGCATGATAAATCTTGTCTAAGCGCATTACTTATAAGATTATTTTTATTACACAGTTCAATGATGTTTTCTAATACACATTTCATTGATATTTTCTGTCACACATTCCAATAATTTGTTCTGGAGTAACTATAAAAAATACAACATAATTAAAATGAACTTAATTTAAAGGAGATTTTAAATATAGATCGTCATCCATCTAGCACTTTATTTTTATGGTCATTTTCAGATAAAGCTAGTGATGGCCTTTACATTTCGAGATACGTCTGACAGATACATTCTACTTTAACGTTGGCTTCAGGTCAAAGCGTGTAATTATTTAGTCTACATAATCGGCAAAAGGTTATGTCATGTCAAAAGAGATAACTAGATTTGCGACTGTGAAGAACGAGGTAGAACGGACTGTATATGTATATACTAAGATAGCTTTGGCTTCTTTTTTTTTAAATTACAGACATTTTTTAAAATATGTTTTTGTTAGGGGTGTGTTAAGTGGCTTCAATTCGAATTGTAGCAAAGGGCTATCTTAATCTAATAAGTTAATATTTATCAACACTTTTTACAAATGTATACACATATTTAAAAAATTATAACATCATTTTAAATTAGGTTACTTTGCTATGAAAAAGAAAAGTGTGTTCGTCGAGATTAAAAGTTTTTTAAAAATAGCCGACTCAATTGTTGATTATGTGTCTTTGTCACACAGACACACAGACACAAAAACGCACATACACACACAAACACACACATACACAATTTTCGCTTACACATACAAGTAGAAAAAATAATCACACTCTGATTGTAAAGTACGATAAACACAAGTGCTACTTACACAAGGATCTACATTTTCCCTCAAAATAAATCCTTTAAACTTCAAAAAATTTTAAACTTCTGTTTTGTAGTGTAGGCCTACTGATTAAACCAAATCTCAAATCTGCAGTACAATGTTTTATTTATATGTATAACACGTATTGTAAACAATACACATAATGTAGTATTTAAATTTTGATTTCATACACGGATGATCTTCTGAATTATCATGTAAGTTTAGCAACTTAATTTTTGTTAAGTTTTACTGTATATACATTTTACTAGCTGTATGTTATCCTGAAGTGCTATTTGGAGAAGCAGTATTCATGAAATAATTTAGTTGATTTCGCTGCTAAGAGAATATATAGGCCTAAAAGGCTAGTTCTTTTATCTATAAAATTGTTAGTGTAGAGGAGGGGTTCACAGATTTCGCCTATTATACTTTTTGTATTTAAGAAAGAGTAGAAATGTATTGCATTTTATCTTGAGACATGATATGAATTTAACCAGAATTTGTGAAAAAATAATTCGGTGTACCAATCGTAGATATTAAGGTGTGTATATTTGCTATATGGACGTTTTCAGTTGACAAATACATCTAGTACACACCATAGCTTCTAATTTGAGATCTTACCCTAATTATAACTTGTACCTCGATAGTAAATCTAGTGGAAATCAAAGCGAATAAATACATTTTTATTTAGTGATAAAGGTTATTATGAGAACTACACCAAAGCCTTCTTCTTAGAATGGAGTGCAACCTGTCCACAAATCCTAACGTGTCCCGAAACTACACAGAAGAGGAACGAACGTGTTATCTAGCACATCTACAACTCTACTCCACCTACACCGTGATACCCGCCATTATTTTTCTGGGTGTCCTCAGCATCGTTGGAATCATCGGGAATTCCATCGTCCTCTTTGTTTACTCACAGAGGTTCAGGAGTACAGCCTCTGGTACCTTCATCATGGCGATAGCTGTCTTTGACTTGTTGGCTAACATAATGCTCATTCCAGGTGAGATCACAATGGCATGGACTGTGTGGGCAAATAGTAGAGCTTAAGTCTGCTAATCTGTAAAGTTTCGAGTTCGGATCTAGTCTGTCAGAGGTCCCTGAGTCCTCCCATCTCTGATAGGTACCTGAATTATATTGTTGAAGCAATGGCTACTGGGCATACCGCTGACCACATTTTCCCATTTTATACCGAGGTAATTAAAAGAGATAAACTCTTTTTCATCTGTCCTTTGTTTTATTGGCACGGATGAGAAACGATAATCTGATAACCATCAACATGTAGTATACATCCAAGTCAACTTGGTCAGATTCGAGATTTTTATAGACACCATTCAACATGTATAATGCAAGTAAGTGTGTAGGCAGAGTTGGTGTATTAGTTGGTCACATTAAAATATATTTAAGCTCTACTGCATCAAACAATATTTTCAATAACTTACACGTAAGGTATGTAACCCACTTTGAGCATAACTCGTTTACATTTTTAAGATACGTTTTAAATGGAACAGTGTTAAAGATATGTTTCTATGTGATAACAGTTTCTTTTTTCAATACGCACCGTTTAAATTTGCAGTCTATAAATTCTAAATACAATATTAATACTAGAAATATGATACATGATTCTGAATAATAAAGCTAACTACATTAGTTTACTTTAAAGAATACAATTAGTACTTTAATGTTGTTACTCAATTCTTATCTAAACGTCAGCGATGTAATTTGCAAATGCTTTCATATTTTGTGAATTTGAAACAATTACATACATCTAATTAATTGTGTGAAGCTCATAAATTCCACCCTCATCAAAAATTTGTCCGGATCTGTTGTTCACGTGATGTATTGTAAACTTTCTAGGAGACATTCACAGTATGTTTCATCACTGGGATTTTGACATGGTTTACCCATGCAAATTTCGTCTGTATGGACATGCAGTGACCCACGGGGCATCGTCCTTATTCCTTGTGGCCTTGGCAGTGACCAGGTTTGGTATTCAATATTATCAAGAAAGCCACTTATTTACACAAAATATACATTTTTATATTATTAATTTTCTGTTTATATTTTCCACTTTCTGTATTCAATTGACATGATAATACTCAAAGTGTAACAGATTATAAGAATTCAATGCGTCTGCGTGGTGGGTTCAAACCTACAGCTGTAGACAGCCACTCTTCTGGGAGACACAACCAAAATTAAACAGCTGCTGCCGCTTAGTTTGCTCTTGGTTAAACATAGGCAATGTTAGAAAATCCAAACAAAAAAGCAGACGGAAATCGAAGCCTGTATTACGCTTAAAGTCTGACATGTAATGCTTAATTGTGTTGGAGGAGATCACGTCCAACCTTACAATTGACAACAAGGAAGTATAATAAAGGACTACAAAAACTTTACACAAAAAATAAATTAAATTAGGAATTATTTTTTTAAAAAGTAAAGCAGTTAAGAAAGAGTATCTAAAAACCAGCAGGTAGTTTTTTTTATTTCCTAAAAAAAGTTTGAGATACAGTTTTTAAAAAATTTTCTAAATCAACCTAATACTTATTTATTTATTATGTTTTCAGGTATAGAAAAATTTGCAAACCATTTTGTAATCAAGTGACTGTAAAACAAGCGACAATTATTTGCATTGGGCTCACTTTACTAGCTATGGCGATGCCCATCTTATACTTTAGAATCCAAGGCATACAGAAGAAAAAAATACCAAATCAAAACATTTTTGGCTCCGTCTGCAACGTTGATGATAAATTTAACGGGACAGCTTTGCATAAAATAAATGCAATTATTTTTGTATTATTTTTTATAACGGTATCTAGCGTTCTTGTTGTTTTGTATGTTAAGATTTGGTTTAGAGCGAAACGGCATCGCAAACTAAGCACATGCGCAAAGGGAGTTCTTGAACATGAAATGGAAATGAAGAGTTTTGCAGATGTATCTTGCAAACCGACATCAAACACTTGCACGAATACAACCTCCACTTTAGAAAGCGTCAATGAAGAAAAAGAACCAGGTAAAAACATCAAAACACACGAACCATCGACGTCATTTCCATTTCAGTGTTTTGAGTTTAAAAGAAAGAAACAAGGTACAATGCTAATTTCAAGTGTTCGCACTGTTCAGGAATCATCAAATGATCGCCACAGAGACCCTAAGAATATCGAACCTGAACAAAGGGATAGGGCTAACTCTATAAGAAACAGAGCACTATCTAAAAGTTGTGAGTGTCTTGATTTTAGCTCTCCTGCAGGCAACCCATCGCCCCATCAAACCACCTACCCATCCATATTAAAGAAATCAGCGAGTTCAGCTAACCATTTCTCAAGCGACCTCAACATCTTGAAGTCTTGTGAAAAAGTCGAAACAACTAGACTAAAAAGATCAGTAACTCTGGGTACATTTGATGTTAACGAAAATTTTAGCACACAAAACAAAAAGTTAAAAATAAACACCAAAATACTAAAAAGACGTCGTGGTTCAGGAAGGATAACTTGTATGCTTGTGACCATCAGTTCTATCTACATTTTAAGCTTACTCCCCTTTATGGTGTTCAACGCTATAAAAACTGTCGCTCCGGAATTTCCCGAATCAATGAACTTCCATGTACAGAGCTTGTATCAACTTTTGTTTAAATCGTATTTGATAAACACGGCTGTCAACCCCATTGTGTATAGTTTTTGTGATGTCAAGTTTAGAACGGAATGTTTGAGTCAGTTTAAAAGTTAAAAGAATAACTTGTAATTAGCAAAGTACTTACACGTATTGACAAAGCATAGTGTGGTGACAGAGAATTTTAATTTATCTTTCTGTATATATGATCTTGTTTAAAACGATAAATTTTCATTTATCAAGAGTATGAGTAATATATATATATATATATATATATTTATTTGATGTTCTTTATACAAATCATTGTTTTTTTAATACACGCTTCATTGATGGTTCTTATACAAATTTCATTTAATTGTTCCCATAAGAATTTCTAATACACATTTCAATTTTCTAACACGTTTCTTTAATTATTTCTAAAATAACTTTTAAAAAAAATATTATTTTAATTTAAAATATATTTTAAATATATATGGTCAGCCAAATAGCATTGGGCTTTTATAGTCATTTACGTATAAAGATGATGACGATCTCTATATGTCGAGCTACATCTTACAGATATACTCTACTTCAACAACCGCATGTGCTTCGGGTCGATACGTGTAGTAATTTAGTCTTTTGTCAGTTGGGTCATATCAAAATACATAAATAGATTTGCAACAAATCTGATTACAGATATAGACATTTTTACATTCTCGTATACGACGTAAAGAGAAAGTATTGTAATATTGCAAAAAAAATCGAAATTTTTAAAAATCTCGACGTTTTACACCTCCATGAGTTGGAAAAACATAGTTTTGCAATTTTGTCCGTATGTCTCTCTCTGTGTGTATGTGTGTGTGTGTGTGTGTATGTAAGTATGTATGTATGTTTGTGAACACGATAATTTGAGTACCGCTACAGCTAGATGATAAAATTTCATATTGAAGTATAACGTCAAATTTGTAATTCTGTATCGATATTTCAGTGTTTTTCGGTTACCAGATATGTTGCTTATTCTACTTCCAATTTTTCAAAAGCCGATTTCTCAAAAAAAAAATATGAATTTATAAAGTACTAAATATATTACGCACTATTATACACATATTGTTTGGAGTTCACTTGGTGCGCAATGCATTTTTTACGAGATTCTATTCTACTTTTAAAAGTTTGAGTAATTAAAAATGGAATAAAAATTATGTCTATATAGCGAGTTTACGTAGTTTTATATAAGAATATTCGAGAAAGTTTAGGGGAGATCACTCCCGGTTTATTTTAGATGATTATATTATGAGTGCATCAAGTGGTTTAAATTCGAATATTAGCAAAGGACTCTCTAAATGTAAAAAGTTTTTATTTAGGAACTTTTTTTACAAATAGATACAGTCATCGATAAATCAGAAATACATTTTTAAAGTGTTACTTTGCTATGAAAAAAAAATCATTTGTTAGTCCAGATTAAAAGTTTTAATTAGCAAGCTGTCTCAATTGTTGATTGTGTGTCTTTTATCTAAATTAATTTTATGTCTATCAGTTTTGAGCTACAAAGCACTTTCGATTTATTGAGCCAGCAACAACATCTACATACAACTCATTAACAGTGAGTCAACATCATCTCTAGTTAAATTTAACTAACTTTTCAAGTATAAAGTTTAAAGTATAGCCTAATTTCAACGGGCATGTAACAGATTTGTTCAATTTCAATTGTCTAAAAAACGTAACAGGAACACGGAAAAGAACGCGGAATTTTTTAACTAAAGATGAAAACATTGGACCCACATTAAAAAAAAAAGTTTCACACCTTAAGCAATCTTTGATAATGACTTTGGAAAGAAAAATAAATAGCTTAAAATTGCTAAACTGAGGGGGCGAACCAAAGCAGTCCGAATGAGAGTTGGACTAGTTTGCGTCACAAGGTTTCACTGGATTACGTTTTCTTCTAACTGAATATACATTTTTCAGAATTTAGTTAAAAAAAAATCTTCAACTTTATATGTTCACCTAGCCTGTGAACATTGAAAATTGAAACAACATGTACTACGTTGTTTGTTTTTTTCCATTGATGACGATTTAATTGAATATTGACCTATGTCATGGTTCAATGGTCTTAATTAAATTCAGACAGCTGTATAATTTGTCTCAATAAACCAAGACTTTACTGAAAGGTCAGGTAAGTTTATCGACTTCCATTTCTTGATTTTTCTGTAATCATATTTTAATAAGTGTATATTGTCAAATAAAATGATATAAGTGATTTTTCTGTAATCATATTTTAATAAGTGTATATTGTCAAATAAAGTGATATAAAGTATAATAAATATCTTTGTTTGTATCGCTGCCAGCTATGGGACAAAGATTGCCTTAGATTTATGGCTAAAGAAAGACGCTTGAGGTAGATAGTTATTAGGACTTAGGTCATGTTTAGTTAGATGGTTACGTTAGGGTTGGGGTTACTAAATGTGACTAAAATTTATTTAACTTAAATAAAATATAAGCGTAGATACTGTTTTTGTTTTCATCATGGTAGGATGGTAAGATTTGTAGACTAATCCGCATGGTCTCTACAATTCCTTGTTTTGAGTAACGGGGAATATTTGATGAATAAGGGTCATTCGTAAATACCCTAACTTTTCCCCGATCTTTTATCAGATAAAAATCATAACCAACTACTATAATAGCATAAAGAACATAATACAAACACTGATAAGGATAACTTGATCTACAGCTTGAATAATTGAGAAAACCCAAAGTATTTTCATACTATGGAGTGCAACGTGTCTACAAATTCTAACGTGTCTAGAAACTACACAGAGGAGGAAAGAACGTGTTATCTAGCACATCTCCAACTCAACTCCACCTACACCATGATACCCGCCATTATTTTTCTGGGTGTCCTCTGCTTCGTTGGAATCATCGGTAATTCCATCGTCCTCTTTGTTTACTCACAGAGGTTCAGGAGTACAGCCTCTGGTACCTTCATCATGGCGATAGCTGTCTTTGACTTGTTGACTAACATAATTCTCATTCCAGGTGAGATCACAACATTAATCTGCTATGACGGACGTTCAGAACATGTATTAGTGTGCTTTCTACTAAATAATTATTATATTAGGTTTTAACAATGATTTTAATTAACAATGTAATCAAGCTTTTGAAAATAGATACGCTTTGAAAATGTATGTTTATTCGTGTAAGAAAATAAACAGATTTTAATAAATTGATTGAAATTAATCATTAATTAAATGGTAACCTCCTTGATGAGGAGAATTGTATAGAAAAAAGATATGGAATTGGTAATTCGTTGAAAAATCGATTCAATCAAATACATTTCTCTTATTAAAAAAATCTATACCGTCATTATCTTCTTCTTATCCCCTCCGAAATTGTTCTAAAATTGAATGCTTTTTTTCCCTTCATTTTAGGAGACATACACGCCATGTTTCACCATTGGGACTTTGTCATGGTATACCCATGCAAGCTACGTCTTTATGGACATGCAGTGACCCATGGTGCATCGTCTTTTTTCTTGGTGGCCTTGGCAGTGACCAGGTGATGTGTTAGATATTATTTTTAAAACACTGTTTTTAGACAAATAGAAACCTGTTTTATTATTATTTCTGCTATTTTCCTCCAATTGTAACGGTATATTGAAATATGCTCTTTATAATATTAACAATTGAAGTTTTTATTTTCTGATATTATAAAAAACGTTTATATTTTTAGAAATTTTACAAATAACTGTAATTGTAATTTTATCATTTTGTGAAATGTTAAATAAAAGATGTACAGATTTTAAGCTGTCGGATATTCAAATAAGACATGTAAAATATTTATGTAAAACATGTAAAACATTTATGGAAATCTTGTGTTTTAGGTACAGAAAAATTTGCAAGCCTTTTAGTAGTCAAGTGAGCGTAAAACAAGCGAGACTTTCTTGTATTGGGCTCTGGATTTTAGCAATGGTTTATCCAGTCTTATACTTTATAGTCCAAGGCATCCAGAAGAAAAAAACACCAAATCGAAATATTTTTGGATACGTCTGCAACGTGGACGATACTTTTAATGGGACAACGTTACATAAACTAAACACAGCTTTTTTTCTCTTTTTATTTATTGCCGTATGCGTCCTTTTTGTTGTGTTCTACATTAAGATTTGGTTTAAAGCGAAACAACATTATAACAGGAAACCAAACACATGCGCAAGAGGAGTCCTTGAACAGGAAACTGAGAAGACCAGTTCTGCAGATGTGTATTGCAAACCGACATCCAACACATGCACGAATACAGATTCGATTTTAGTACATGTAAACAGAGAAACACAAGCAGGACAAAGCATCGAACTGCTAGAACAAACGTCATCATTACCGAAGAGGTTTCTTGAGATTGAAAGTTTGGAGCGAAATACAATGTTAGTTTCTAATTTGTGTCATGTTTCTGAGCCTCCGACTAGAAGCCCCGATGGCATGACAATTAATCAAAGCTCAACTAGAAACAAGGCGCTCTCTAGAAGCTGTGACTATGTTGATCGTGTTCCTTCTGCAGATAAATCCTCATGGGCGCAAATGAACTACCCATCCATATTAAAGAAGTCAGAGAGCGTCTCCAACAATTTCAGAAGCAATCTCAACGTGCAAATTGCTTGCAAAAAAAACGAAACCACACTCGACAATTTTGAATTTAACGAAACCTTAAGCGAAGACAGCAAAAAAATAAAGATAAAGAATAAAAATACCAGAAACTCAGGAGGTTCAAGAAGGATCACCCGTATGCTTGTTACAATCAGTTCTATCTACATTTTAAGCTCACTCCCTTTTCTTGTTTTCAACGCTATAAAAACTGTCGATCCGGAATTTCCCGAATCCATGAACATCTATGTACAGTGTCTTTGTCACTTTTTGCTTAGATCGTATTTGATAAACACGGCTGTCAACCCCATTGTGTATAGCGTTTGTGATGTCAAGTTTAGAACGGAATGTTTGAGTCAATATAAAAGAATAATTTGTCATTAAAGAAAAGTATTATATATATATATATATATATATATATATATAATGTATAAACTAAATGTTATATATACAAATATGTATAATACATAGGAATAAGTTATATATTTTTTTTCATTAATTTTGATTGGGACCATCCACTATACCATCCACTCTACTATCTTTTCTGCAATGCGCTCTGACATCTATTCTAACATCCACTATAGCGTAAAATACATCATCCTCTATACCATCAACTATATTATCCACCACCACATCCACTATAAACATCCACTTTACCATCCACCATGTCATCTATTACACCAGTATTATTACAAAACGTACCCTTTTGTGCTTCTAACTATATAAATGATGGCTCCCGGTCAACCCCCCCCCCGACATAAACCCACTGGACATAAACCCCCCGCGACATAATCCCCCTGGACATAATCCCCCGCGACATAATCCCCCTGGACAAAACCCCCGCGACATAAACCCTCTGGATAAGAACCCCCCGACTGAGGTTTATATAAGGAAATAATAACGATGTTTAGAACACACAAAAAAAAGTAAATAAATTAATGTAATTTTTAACGACTAACGATTGTGGTGCCGAGTCAAAAGTAGGATGTTTTAGTTTGGATAAAGAACAACCTTAGGTTATTTAAGGTTAATCAGCACTGCTTTATGGTTGGTAGGCCCCTACATTCAAAACAGCTCCTGCATTGTTTCACAACTGTACACAGTCCATACATTGGTCAATGGAGGGACCGTTCCATGTGTTTATGCTTTACTTAAAAACGAAACACATGAAACATACACAGCACTCTTACAACAACAAACGTTCATTAATACAAACCTGCAAGCAATTTCTTTTATTAATGACTTTGAAATGGCTGTGATAAAAAGTGTTGAAAGGGTATTTCTAGATTGTGACATAAAAGGATGCTTTTTCCATCTTAGCCAAAACATATACAGAAAAATACAGGACTCTAGTCTTCAACAACGTTCCCAACTTGATAGTGAATTTGCTCTCAAGTTCAGAATGCTACCTGTGTTGGCTTTTGTGGCCATGAACACACGAGTTATGCCTTTAAAAAATTATCGGAAATTTTCCCCCTTGAAGCAATGCCGCTTGCAGACTGTTTCAAGGACTACTATATTGGCAGACCACAACGTAGACGTCGGAGACAACCTATTTCCAGTTGATATGTGGAACATGCAGACACGTGTTGAAGACCATATGCCAAAATTAAACAACTCATTTGAAGGCTGGCCATTGTAGAGTATTTGCGAGGCATCGCTCAAAATCTCTCTTTTTAAAAACTGTTTTTTTCTAATGTTTATTGTGTTTTTAATTATTAATTTTTGGTTCCCATCATCCATGGTTTTTCGTTATATAAACCTCAATTGGGTTTTTTTGTCCAGGGGGTTTTAATTCGCGAGGGTTCATGTCCAGGGGGTTAATGTCGGGGGGAGGGGGGGGGGTTTCCAGGTGGGTTTTATCCAGGTTTTTTTTGCATCATCTAATCATTCGTTTAAAATCTTACAAAATCACAATAACCTAATTTTATCTTTATTGTTATTGTCATTAATGCTTGGTAAAGCTTGCATAAACGCGTTGCTTTTATAAAATGTTTTACTTCACATTTCATTGATTTTTTTCTTATACACATTAAATTAATTTTTCCAATAAGAAGTTAAATAAACCGGGAGTGATCTCCCCTGAAATTTCTCGAATATTCTTATATGAAACAACAGGGAATGGCAACTCGGGATATAGACATGACTTTTCACTCATTTTAAATACTTAAACTTTTTAAAATAGAATAAAATCTCGTAGAAAAAAGAATTGCACACCAAGTGAACGTCATATAAAATGTGAAAAATATTGCGGAATATTATTAGTACTTTATAAATTCTCATGCGTTTTTTGAGAAATCGTAAATAGCAAAAATTATTACTTACGGTCAACGGAAATTACTCAAAATTTGACAGAAGGCAGAGAATTAGATCTTTTACTTACATGTGAAATTTCATTTATCCATCTGAAACAGTTATAGGGTTTTGAAAAATTCAAGGTAGAAAAAGTTCCACTTTCGTTTATTGGAAATCGCTCAAATGTTGATACGGATCTACGATTGCGATATAATACTTATATATGAAATTTCATCAACCTAGCTGTAACGGTACTCAAGTTATCGTGTTTACATACACACACACACAGACATAAGAACAGAATTGGATAATCTAGTTTTTCCGACTCCATTACGCAAAAAACGCCAAAAGTTTGATATATTTGGATTTATAATTTTTGCCCGATTAAAATAAGTCCTCTACATCCCGGATGTGATGAAGGACTGAGGAGTAAAACGGTGAAAACTGTCCAAATATTTAATGTGATTTTTGTGCACGATTACAAGAATTTCTCTATACTACGTATATACGAGAAAGTAAAAATACATCAGCATTAATATTATTTTAATTTATAGTAGACTTTAAATGTTGATGGTAAGTCATCAAGCATTTGAATTTTATGGTCATTATTGGATAAATCTAGTGATGCTCTTTACATTTCGAGAAACGACTTACAGATATATTCTACTGCAAAATCCGCATTGGATTATAATTTAGTCTACATTATCTGCTATAGGTTACGTCATGTTAACATAGTTTACTAGATTTTAGACTGTGAACAGGGAAGTAGAACTAACAATAAAATGAGATTTGTCCTTGCTGTTTGCATGTATTACAATTTTGTTTAAGATATTTTCATGAGCAATGCATTATGTGGCGTCTATTCTAAATGCATCAAGGGACTCTCTAAATGTTATCTATTTAGCTACCCTTTTTACAAATATATACAATTATCAACAAAATCAAAACATTTGTTTCGTTAGTTTGTCTACTATGAATAAAATAAAGATGTTCTCGTCTAGTATATTTTTATAAATCTGCTTCAATTGTTGTTTATTATAAGAATGTGTCTTTATCTGAATAATTTTTACGTCTATCAGTTTTAAAACAACAAAGCAAATGTAGGGTATGGAGCTATTAACACCATCCCCTCCGCATAAAACTCACTGGCAATGAGTCAAACATCATCAATAAGTCAACTCAAATGCTTTTACTTGAAAAGCAACTTAAGTAAACACTTTGAAATTGTATGTAACAAATACAGTGGATTTTTTAATAAAATGTAACGGGAACACAGTAAAACAAAAATGGTAAGCGATTTTCTTTAACAGATGGAAATTTATTTATCGTTGATGTGAAAAGAGCTTATTCCGAGGTAAGTGTTTGATCCTCAATTTAAGAAAACAGTGGTCAGGCTTAAGAATTTCTGGAGAATGGCCGTTGAAGGAAATGCGCGGCATTCATGGGCTTAAAAGGATGAAAAGAGAGAGAGAGAGAGAGCTGCCGAAAACAAAGTCTGAAGGAGAGGTGTAACAGCAATAATTTTTTTCTTAACTGTTTAGCATGATTAAAACATCTTCTAACGAGGATAGATTTTTTTTTTCGAAAAAATAATATTCAACTTCATAACTTCATCTCACAAGTGCGCTAAAGTCACTGAAAATTGATGATAAATATATGCAAATATATGCAACGTTGCCCAATTGTATAGTTTTTTTTTCTAAATAAATGTCAGACAACATTATCATTTGTCACCATTAACCAATACTTTAATGAAAGGTCAGGTAAGTTTAATGACTTTCGTTTCTTTAATGTTCTGGGATTATATTTGTAGTATATATTTCATCCACAGAGACATACAGTATAGTTACAAATATTTGTATTTAGCTGCCAGATATATGTTTAGCTTAAGGACAAAGTGTGCCTTAGATTTATGTTTAAAGCGAGATTGCTATTAGGACTAGTATTTGACTTATTTCAATGGTTATGGTGTATTTGGGGTTACTAAATATGACTTAAGTGTATTAAAGTTAAAATAAAAGTAAAATAAAGCTCATTGTTACGCTTTCTTCATCGTAGGAAAGGTGGACGTGTAGACATATCAGAAGGGTTTTTAGTAATTGTTTTTATATTTTTGCTAAAAAAAGTTATTCGTAGACTTCACCTGACTAATGTAATGCATTGTTTTTTCTGATTTAGGATCTAACCCAAAATCAACCTAATAGCAATGCAAAAAGCCTTTATAACCTAATAAGGATACCTTAATGTTATACGGATTGAATAATTGACAATTCCTACGCTTGTTCATACTATGGAGTGTAACGTGACTACAAATCCTAACGTCTCCAGAAACTACAGAGATGAGGAAAGAACCTGTTATATAGCACAACTTCAACTCTACTCCACCTACACCATGATACCCGCAATCATTTATCTAGTGGCCCTCTGTGTGGCTGGCGTCATCGGGAATTCCATTGTCCTCTTTGTTTACTCACAGAGGTTCAGGAGTACAGCCTCTGGTACCTTCATCATGGCGATAGCTGTCTTTGACTTGTTGGCTAACATAATTCTCATTCCAGGTGAGATCACAATTTGGCAAAACTAATCAGCTAAGACGGACGTTTAGATAATGTGTAAGTGTGCTTTCTATTAAACAATTTTTTTTTAAAGTCTGCTAATTCGTAAAATTTCAAGTTGGGATCGTGGGCTCCAATCTGTAGGACGTCCGTAATTCCTCCCATCTCTGATAGGTACCTGACTCACGTTAGGAAAGCAAAGCCTACTGTGCATAGCGCTGAACACATTATTCCATTGTATACCGTGGTAATTAAAACAGTTAAACTCTACTTCATCTGCCATTTGTATCCTTGGCACGGATGGAAAAAGATAATGTACAAGCTGACAACCTTCAACATGTAGTTTACATGTAAGTCAGATGGGTCGGATTTGTGATTTTAATTGATAACCTGCAACATGTATGATGCCGGTGCGTAGGCAGGGTTGGTCTATTAGATCGTCACATGGAAAGAGATTTGAGCTTTCATGCACTAAATAACTTACACTTAACGTATGTAGCCCACTTTGAGTATAACTCTCGTTTACATTTTTAAAATACGTTTTAAATGGAACGCAGTTTAAAATAGTTTTCTGTGTGATCAATTAATAAATGATAAAACAGTTTTTTTTCAATACACACTGTTTAAATTTGCAGTCAATAAATACTATTTTAATACTAGAAATAAAACACATGGTTCTGAATTGGTATCGTAATATTTAGTAAAGCTAACTACATTAGTTTATTTTAAAGAATAAAATCAGTAATTAAATGTAAAACTTATAAATTCCGCCCTCATCAAAAGATGTACTTATCATTTGTTCATGTAAACTTTCTAGGAGACATTCACAGTATCTTTCATTACTGGAATTTTGACATGGTTTACCCATGCAAGCTACGTCGTTATGGACATGCAGTTACCCACGGGGCATCGTCCTTATTCCTCGTGGCCTTGGCAGTGACCAGGTTAGGTATTCAATATTATTAGAGAAAGCCTCTCATTTACACAAAATATTGATTTTTTAAATTATTATTATTTCTGATTATAATTTCCACTTTCTGTTTTAATTTGACATGAGAATACTCAAAGTCTAACTTGACTTTGACTTGGTCCTCTTTGCTCCTTATGGAACATAGGGCCTCCACCATTTCCTTCTATTTCATCCGATCCCTGGATAATAATTTTGCCGTCTCCCAAGACATACCTGTTTGCTTCAGTTCTTTATGAAGACTCTGCCTCCAGGTCTGTCTTGGGCGCCCTCTCTTCCGCTTTCCCTGAGGTTTCCACTCAAGCGCTTGGCGTGTAACATTTAGGTGAGCCTTTCATAGCGTGTTTCCTACCCAGCGCCACTTCCTCCTTCTTATTGCACACCCAAAGGCTCTTGCCTAGCTTTCCTCCATAGTTCTATGTTCTGCACTTTGTCCTGCTATCTCAATTTTAATATCTGTCTAAGGCATCTGTTCATGAAGGTCTGTATCTATGCTCTGCTTGCTTTGGAGACTCTCAATGTTTCTGCTCCATACATCAGAACTGTCTTGACATTTGAGTTAAATATCCTAATTTTTGTGGTGATGGAGATGGCAGAACTTTTCCATATGGGTCAAATTATAAACCATTTATATGAATTCAATGAGTCGGCGTGGTGAGTTTGGTAAAGTTAATAATCTATACACCGAAACAATGATTCAAACCTCCAGTCATATGTAGCTCTTCTGGTAGAGACAACTCCAAAATTAAACAGCTGCTGCCTTTTAGTTTGCTCTTGGTTAGAAATAGGGTTTTGTGGAAAATCCAAACAGAAAAACTGGGTAAAATCTAAGTCCGACATGTATTACTTAATTGTGTAAAACGACATCACGTCAAAACTTACAATTAACAACATAGAAGAAGAATAAATGAATACAAAATATTTATACAAAAAAAAATGCATTTATTACGAATCACCTTTAAAAAAAAAGTAAAACAGTTAAGAAATAGTATTTAAAAATCATTAGGTAATATTGTTAATTACATAAAATAAGTTTGAAATACAGTTTTTAAAATATATTCTCAATTTACCTAATACTTATTTATATAATATGTTTTCAGGTATCGAAAAATTTGCAAACCATTTTGCAATCAAGTGACTGTAAAGCAAGCGAGAATAATTTGCATTGGGCTCACTTTACTAGCTATGGCAATGCCCATCTTATACTTTATAATCCTAGGCATACAGAAGAAAAAAATACCAAATCAAGACTTTTTTGGCTACGTCTGCAACGTTGACGATAAATTTAACGGAACAGCCTTGCATAAAATAAACACAATTCTGTTTGTGCTATTTTTTATAACAGTATCTAGCCTTCTTGTTGTGTTGTATGTAAAGATTTGGTTTAGAGCGAAACGGCATTACAACCGTAAACCGAGCACATTCGCAAGAGAAGTTCTTGAACAGGAAACGGAAATGAAGAGTTTTGCAGATCTAACTTGCGAACCGACATCCAAAACATGCATGAATTTAGCCTCCACTTTGGAAAGCGTCAATGGAGAAACACAAGCAGACATCAAAATACCAACGACATCATTACCAAAGAAGTTTCTGGAGTTAAAAGGAAGGAAACGAAATACAATGCTAATTTCAAGTTTTCGCACAGTTAAGGAATCATCCAAGGATCGTCACAGAGACCCTGAGAATATCATACCTAAACAAAGACATAGGGCTAACTCTATTAGAAACAAAGCACTATCTAAAAGTTGTGAGTGCGTCGATAATATCTCTCTTGCAGGCAACACATTACCCCATCAAACCACCTACCCATCAATATTAAAGAAGTCAGCGAGGTTCGCTCACCATTTCTCAAGCGACCTCCAGATTTTTAAGTCTTGTGAAAAAGTCGAAACAACTGGACTAAAAAGATCCGTTACTCTGAGTACATTTGATGTTAACAAAAATATCAGCTCGGAAAATAAAAGTTTAAAGCTGAAAACCAAAGTACCAAAAAGACGTCGTGGTTCAGGAAGGATAACTTGTATGCTCGTGACCATCAGTTCTATCTACATTTTAAGCGTACTCCCCTTTATGGTGTTCAACGCTATAAAAACTGTCGCTCCGGAATTTCCCGAATCAATGAACTTCCATGTACAGAGTCTCTATCTTTTTTTGTTTAAATCGTATTTGATCAACACGGCTGTCAACCCCATTGTGTATAGTTTTTGTGATGTCAAGTTTAGAATGGAATGTTTGAGTCAGTTTAGAAGAATGACTGGTCATTTAACAAAAATATGAGTAATATATAGGCCTGTATGTATATACAAATATATATATATATATATATATATATATATATATATATATATATATATATATATATATATATAATGTTATATACGCCTATACGTTTAATGTATCTATAGGAAAAAACTTATTAGTCATAGTATTCACTAGCATCAACTAAACCATCAACTATATCATCCACTTTACCATCCACTATACCATCCACTCAACCATCTACTATCATCTAGTATACCATCTACTATACCATCCAATCTAAAATCCACTCTAAAATCCAATCCACTATCCACTGTACCATTCACTATGCCATCTACTATACCATCCACTTTACCCTCCACTCCACCTTCATCTCAACCATCCACTCCACCATCTACTATACCTTCTATTACACCAGTGTTATTCCAAAACGTTCTCCTGTTGCTTGATATTATCTAAGTAAGTTTTGCCATCATCAAATCGTTAATTTAAAGTCTTAACAAAACTCTCAAAAAACCATCAACTATACCATTCACCAAACCATCCACCCAACCATCTACTATACTATCCACTATACCAGCATTACACCATCCACTATACCATACAATATATTATCCACTATCCTATCCACTATACCATCAAATATATCATCCACTTTACTAGCCAATATACTATTATTACACCAGTATTATTCCAAAACGTACTTATGATGCTTGTATCTTAAGGTTTTGCATTATCAAATCTTTCATTTTCATCGTCCTACCAAAATTCGTGTAGGCCTACCAAAATTTATCTTAAATGCTATTGTTACTGAAGCTTGTTTAGCTTTCTATATACGCGATGCTTATAAGATGTTTACTAATACACGTTTCATTGATGTTTTCTAGTTTCATTGATGTTTTCTAGTAAACTTTTTATTCATGTTTTCTAATACACATTTCATTAATGTTTTCTAATACACATTCACTTAATATTTTCTAAATAACTTTAAAAACACATCAGCATTAATATTACTTTAATTTAAAGAATATTTTAAATGCGTTAAAATTGTTTGTCGTTATTGGATAATGCTAGTGATGATCATTACATTTCGTAATAAGTTTTACAGATATATTCTACTTTAACATCCACATTGGCTTCAGGGTAAAAGAGTGTAGTAATTTTGTCAACATTATCGGGAGTTGGTTACGTCATATCAAGGTAGATAACTAGATTGTCGAACTTACAGTAAGTACAAAAAAAATTCATAAAAAAAAGTTTTAATAACAAGCTTTCAAGTAAGAATGCACTAAAAAGTAGAAAATAAATTAAACACTACTATTTAAATTACTATAAAGAAAAGCGTGGGTCACTTTAGTATCTATTCGATACCTTTATTAATATTTAGGAAGAAACCCACGCTTTTCTGTATATTAATTTAAATAGTAGTGTCTAATATTTTGGAAGACACCCACGCTTTTCTTTATACTTATTTAAATAGTAGTGTATAATTTATTTTCTACTTTTTAGTGCATTATTACATAAAAGCTTGTTATTAAAACGTTTTTTTATGAATTTTTTTCAGCACTTAACATGTTTTATTTATAATAGAGCTATATGATTAAAAACCATTGCTCGCCTATTAAACGTGATGACGCGTTTTATTGCCTTTCTCTGCCCTGTTTTATCGTAGAGCCCTCCTCGCTCCACACCCAAGAGGGCCGTGATGACGCGTGTGGAAAAGTATTATGGGATGGCGTGGTCTAGTGGTAAAGAAATAGACTGCTGACATGACTAAAAACCATTGCGCGCCTATTGAACGTGATGACGCGCTTTTGTAGTTGAGCCCCCCCCCCCCCCCTCCCTTTTACTCTTCGACCAAGACGGCCTACTAATTCGGTCCAAATTTTAATTAATTCATAAAAAATTAATTAGGCGACCAAGTAAGTCAAATTGAATGTCACGATCCAATGTCTTCATGTTTTGACCCAAGTACCAACTACGAACCGTATCTGTCAGTTAGAATTGCCTGCAATTTCACACAGGCGTTTCTATCTAGACAGACAGACAGACAGACAGACAGACAGACAGACAGACAGACTGACGACAGAGGAAGTGAGTTAAATAAAAGCTTTTAAAGAGTTGTGTTTTCTTTTATTACAATTTTTGTTTAAGATGTTAAGCCATGTATTATATGGCGTCTATTCTAATTGCATCAAGGGGCTCTCTAAATGTTATTTTAATTAGCTTCACATTTCACAAATATATACAATTATCAACAAAATCAGAACATTTGTTTCGTGAGTTCGTTTACTATGAATAAAAAAACACTTTCTCGTACAGAAGGTTTTTTTTTTACAATCTGTCTCAATTGTTGCTTATAATAAGGATAAGCAATTTATCTGAATTATTTTTACGTCTATTAGTTTTAAACCAACAAAGCAAAATTAGGGCATAGAGCTTCTAACACCATCTCCTCCACATAAAACTCATCAGCAATGAATCAAACATCATCAATAAGTCAACTCAAATATTTTTACTCTAAAGTTAATTTAAGTGAATACTTTCAAATTATATATAACAGATACAGTTGATGCCCGAATAGAGTTTCCGATAAAATGTAACGGATTCACACACACACACACACACACATACACACTCACACAATTTTTCCTTACACATGCAAGTATTTTTCGATGCGTCTTTTATGTAACGTTTAATTAAATAGATCGCGGTAAAAATATGAAAAAGATTTTTGCAAAACAGTAGATAACATAACACGCAGCTTGTAAAACACGATAACACAAGTGCTATTTACACAAGGATCTATATTATCCCTCGAAACAAATCATTTAAACTTCAATTTTTTAAACTTCAATTTTGTAGTGTACTGACTGAAGCAATAGCTCAAATCTGCAGTACAATGTTTTATTTATTTTTATATCACGTAATATGTATAATAAACAGAATGTAGTATTCACTATTTCACATTTTGTTTTCATACACGGATACTCTTCCAAATTATCATGTAAGTTTAACAACTTAAACTTTGTTAAGTTGTACTACATTATACATTTTACTATCTGTATGTTATCCTGAAGTGGTATTTAGAGAAAAGTAGTATTTATCAAATAATTTGGTTGATTTCGAAGCTAGCGAGAATATGTATAAGGCTAGTTCTCTTATCTATTAAATTGTTATTGAAGAGGTGGGGTTAACCTATTATACTTTTTGTATGTATTAAAAGACTAGAAACGTATTGTATTTTATCATAAGTATTATGGTTTGAATCTAACCAGAAATTGTGAAAAAAAGAATGTGGTGTACCACTAGTAGATATGAAAGTGTGTATACTGGCTATAGGGACGTTATTAGTTGACAAAATTAATACAATACACACCCTTGCTTCTAATTTAAGATCTCACACTAATTATACATTTTACCTCGATAGTAAATCTAGTGCAAAACAAAACGGATCAATATCTTTTGATTGCGTGACAACGGATATTGTGAGAACACCTTGTTCTTAGAATGGAATGCAACGTGTCAACAAATCCCAACGTGTCCAAAAACTACACAGAAGAAGAAAGAACGTGTTACCTAGCTCATCTCCAACTCTACTCTACCTACACCATGATACCGGCCATAATTTTTCTGGGTGTTCTCTATATCGTCGGAATCATCGGGAATTCCATCGTCCTCTTTGTTTACTCACAGAGGTTCAGGAGTACAGCCTCTGGTACCTTCATCATGGCGATAGCTGTCTTTGACTTGATGGCTAACCTGGTGCTCATACCAGGTGAGATCACATCACAATTTAGCATGGAATTTTTTTAATTTAGATCTCGGGCTCTAGTCTGTAGGACGTCCTGGAGTCCACCCATCTCTGATGTCTACCTGACTCACTTTAGTGAAGCACAAGCTACTGGGCATTTTGCTGACCACATTATCCCATTGTATACCAAGGCAATTAAAAATGCATCTGTCCTTCGTATCTTTGGCTCGGATGTTCGCGATTGGGAAAAGATAATGTACAATCTGACAACCTTCAACATGTAGTATACATCAGAGTTTCTTCCAGCCATTTTTTGGAGCCCCCCCCCCCCCCCCCCCGAAGCAAGTCTACCGCCCACCCCCCGAAGCTCATATGTATGAAGCTCATATATTCCACCATCGTTGTCCTTACCTTGTTCATGTATTGCATTGTAACATTTCTAGGAGACATTCACAGTATGTTTCATCATTGGGATTTTGACATGGTTTACCCATGCAAGCTACGCCTTTATGGACATGCAGTGACCTACGCGGCATCGTCCTTATTCCTCGTGGCCTTAGCAGTGACCAGGTTTGGTATTCAGTATTATTAAGAAAGCATCTATTCACAAAAATATATACATTTTTATATTATTAATATTTCTGGTTATATTTTCCACTTTCTGTTTTAAATTGACATAAGAGTACTCAAAGCGTAAAAAATTATAAGAAGTAAATAGTCTACACACGAAACTAACATTCAAACCTCCGGCTAGATGTGTCTCACAGCTGTAGACAATAACACTTCTGGGAGAGACAACTCCAAACTTAAACAGCTGCTGCCTTGTAGTTTGCTCTTGGTTAGACATAGGTTATGGTAGAAAATAAAATAAAAAAGCTAGCTGAAATTGAAGCCTGTATTACGCATAAAGTCTGACATGTAATACTTAATTGTGATGGAGAACATCAAACCTTATAATTAATAACAAGGAAGAAAAATAAAGGAGTATAAAAGCTTTATGCAAAAAAAAAAAATTAAATGATGAATATTTTTTTAAAAAGAAAAACAATTAAGAAAGACTAGTTTAAAAACCATCAGGAAGTAATTTTAATTTTATAGAAAGTCTTAAACATAGTTTTTAAAGAATATTATCTGAATTTACCTAATACTTATTTATGTATTATGTCTTCAGGTATCGAAAAATTTGCAAACCGTTTTGCAGTCAAGTAAATGTACAGCAAGCGAGATTTACTTGCATTGGGCTCACTTTATTAGCTATGGCCCTTCCCATCTTATACTTCATAATCATAGGCATACAGAAGAAAAAAACAGCAAATCACAACATTTTTGGCTACGTCTGCAACGTAGGCGATAGATTTAACGGGACAGCCTTGCATAAAATAAATACAATTATATTTTTGGTATTTTTTATATCCGTATCTATCCTACTTGTTGTATTGTATGCAAAAATTTGGATTCGAGCGAAACGGCATCACAGTCGCAACTTAAGCACATGCGCAAGGGGAGTTCTAAAACAGGAAATGAAGAGTTTTGCAAATTTATCTTGCGAACCGACATCCAACACTTGCACGAATACAGCCTCCACATTGGTAAGCGTCAATGGAGAAACACAAGCAGGTAAAAGCAATAAAATACATGAACCTACGACGTCATTTCCATTTCAGTTTCTGGAATTTACAAGAAGGAAACGAAATTCAATGATAATTTCAAGTTTTCGCACAGTTCAGGATTTATCAAAGTATCAACACAAGGACCATAAGATTATGGACACAGAACAAAGGGATAGGTCGAACTCTTTTAGAAACAAAGCATTGTCTAAAAGTTGTGAGTGCTTTGATCGAATCTATCCTGCTGGCAACCCATCACCCCATCAAACCGCCTTCCCATCCATATTAAAGAAATCAGCGAGTTCAGCTCACCATTTCTCAAGCGACCTTAACATCTTTAAATCCTGTGAAAAAGTCGAAACAACTAAACTAAAGAAATCAGCAACTCTGGGTACATTTGATGTTTACAAAAAATTTAGCACACAAAATAAAAAAATAATTATAAACAACAACATACCAAAAAGACGTCGAGGTTCAGGGAGGATAACTTGTATGCTGGTGACAATAAGTTCTATCTACGTTTTAAGCTTACTCCCCTTTATGGTGTTCAACGCTATAAAAACTGTCGCTCCGGAATTTCCCGAATCCATGAACTTCCATGTGCAGAGCTTGTATCACTTTTTGTTTAGATCCTATTTGATCAACACGGCTGTCAACCCCATTGTGTATAGTTTTTGTGATGTCAAGTTTAGAATGGAATGTCTGCGTCATTTTAAAAGAATAAATTGTCATTAAACATCCAATATACCATCCAATATACCACCCAATTTACTATCCACTCTACCATTCACTATATTATTAACATTACCATGCACTATACCATCCACTATACATTAACTATACCATCCACTATACCATTTAGTATACAATCCATTATACCAACAAGAATACTATCCACTATACCACAACTATATTATCCACTGTACCATCTACTCCACCATCTACTCCACCATCCACTCTACCATCTACTTTAGCATTAACTATGCCATCTGTTAAACCAGTATTATTCCAAAACGTACCCCTGTTGCTTGTAATTATATTAAGTTGGTTTTGCATTATCAAATCGTTCATTTTCATCATCTTACAAAACTCTAGTAGGAGAACCTAATTTATCCCTAATGATATTGTCACTGGAGCTTGATTTATTTTGTATAAACGTGTTGATTGTAAGATGTTTTCTAATACACGTTTCATTTATGTTTTCTAGTACACTTTTCATTCATGTTTTCTAATACACGTTTCATTGAAGTTTTATAATACGAATTTTATTTACGTATTCTAAAAGAACTATACAAATACATCAAAATTAATATGAACTTAATTTAAAGGAGATTTTAAATGTAGATGGTCATCCATGTAGCATTTCATTTTTATGGTAATGCTAGTAATAGTCTTTAAATTTCGATGTACATTATAAAGATATAATCTACTTCATTACAGGCATTGGCTTCAGGTCAAAACATGTAATTATTGAGTCTACATAATTGGCAATTGGTTCCGACATGTCAACATAGATAACTAGATTTGCGAATGTGAACAGGGAGATTGAACTTACTGTATATCTATATACTAAGAGAGTTTTGGCTTCTTTTCTGATTTCAGGCATATAGATTTTTAAAGATGTTTTTATTAGGGGTGTATTAATTGGCTTTAATTCAAATTTTAGCTAAGGAATCTCATAATGTAATATTTTGTTATTTAGCAACTCTTTTTTTTGCAAATAGATAGAATTATCAACACAATCAAACTTTATTTTAAATTATGTTAACTTTTGTATGAAACATTTTTCTTCTAGATTAAAAGTTTTTATTAACAAGATGTCTCATTTGTTAATTATTTGTCTTTTATCTAAATTGTTTTTATGTCTATCAGTTTTGAGCTACAAAGCGCTTTTGATGTATTGAGCCAGCAACACCCTTCTGTGAGGGTGGGGATTTTTTATGAAGGCGGAACGAATGAATCCAACAACACACAGTTCAAGTTCAACTATAATTGTTCTTTATTAAAATGATATATATGTTCAAGTTTCTACCTAACTGATCCACACTGTACTATTTACTTCTACTACTGACTGTTCATACCACATGCCACCTACTACTACGCACTCCCATGACCAATCCTAACACTAACTGTTCTCTACATTCTACAACCTAACACCTTCTACCTTCGCTAGCTAATCATGATCTCCTAACTATCTACATTCTCGGCCGTCTCTGACCGCTACCTAACAACTCCTGGCCTATCGCTCCACTGCCCCACGCCTCAGTGGTCAGCTGACCGTCCCACGTGACCGGTCAGCCCTGTGCGCCCATTGGCCTCTCTACCCAACCAACTGGGCCTATAGTCTGTTTCTGCTAACCTATATCTGCTAAACATGTCTGACGTAATCTTGCGTCATCACATATCTCCCTCCCTTTCTGTAGCTGACAAATTATATTTTTCAGCGTCTGCTACTAATCTAATACATCAACAACTATCTATCTTACTACTCTATTCTATCCCTAACATCAATCATATAAATCAAATACAAAATGGGACAGCACAGTTTACAAAAACATAAAATGTTGTGTCTGTGTTCCTGAAAAAAATGTCATTGTTTTAGTTCCTGAAATCTTGTGGTGTGACTGGTGTCTCTGCTTGCTAATGTATGTCTATGTTATGGTATGTGTGAATTCAATCATGTGTAACTCAGTTCTGGCTAGGTTGTCGTGTACTGGCCTTGAGCTAATCTTAGTAGAATGTGTAACTGGTTGAACGGGCTCTGCGAGCAGTGTAAGTGTATGTTTAAGTGTTATGTAATTGCTGGCGTTCCTCTGTGGTGGGTGGTTTGTGGCGAGTTTTGATGTAAATTCCCGTGAGGCGGGTGTAGGCGTAACTTTCGTTGGTCAATGTTATGACGCAACAAACTCAACGCTGGTTGAGATGTCCACGTAGAGTGGTTATACGATGAACTGGAGCTGTCTGATGCGGTTGCGAACAATGACGTAACATTCCGCCGCTGGGAACTTGGACGATGGGTCTTCTACCCTTTGTATGTGCCGACGTAGGTGTTCGTAGCTGGCGGTCTGTTATTCAACTCCAGTGCGGGGGGCGAAGCGGTGGCGATGCGTTCGCTGTCTTGACCAGGGCAATTCTCTGTTCAGCAGGTCTGTCCGCTGTCCAGGTAATTCAACGTAATCAGGGCTTCAGGTGGCGGCACTCTTTGAAGTGTCTGCTTCATCTCGTCTCATTCTGGATAAGCGTTAGTGGGTCTGAAAATGGCATTTCGAGACTATGAGCAATGGCGTTACGTGAACAATTTAGTGCCCGCGCAGACAAGTATTCAGACAGAGGTACCTTCCATTAATAAAACCTCAATCCCAAATGTAAACGTGCTGAACATTTGTCTGGCGGTAAATACAGCATACAAATATACATTACAAAATTAACCAAACAAAAAAAATCAGTACACTCTACATCTAACAACAATCTGTAAAGCCTAATAAACTCAATAGACGTAAGCACTACTAGAGCTAAGAAATAGCTTCACAAAAAGAATAGACATGTGAGTGTATATCAATAATATTCTGCCATTTCAAATCAATATTTCAACACGTGATCAAATAGTGGAGCAGCTCTCACTATGTGACTTTTGACTTGACCTAAACTGGCTGGCTTGAATAATTAACTGACTTCACTTTTGACTTCAGTAGCCTGACTTATTTCACTTTAACCGACTTCAGTACTTCACTTATTTCACTTTGACTTTAGTAACTCGACTGACTTCAATTTAACGACTGATTCCACTTTGACGACTTCAATTACTTCAACTTGACGACTAACTTCACTTTGAAGACTAACTTGACCTCGACGACTTCACTTCAACTTAAAAGACTTTTCCTTGACTTCAACGACTTCAATATGACTTCAAATACTTCACTTTGATTTCAACAACTTCAATATGACTTCAAAGACTTCAACGACATCACTAACTTCATAAACATCGCTGACTGACCTCGGTTGACTCTAAATGACTTCTTTGACTTCAGTTCTGACTTTTACTTCACGCCGACTTCTCGGCGACTTAAATTCCTAACATTCTTGATGACCAGAGTTGTATGACTTATGTTCTAGTTGCGTGACAGCGTGTCGGCCAACACGTTTTGTGTGCCGGGGATAGGAACAATGTCAAATTGATAATCTTGTAAGCTCAGTGCCCAGCGTACCAATCTTGCGTTTGACAGCTTCTTTGTTTTTAGTGCTTGTAGGGGCGCGTGGTCGGTCTGTAAAGTGAAGTGTGCACCGGCCAGGTATCTGGCAAACTTGTTTATGGCCCAGACTATGGCCAGACATTCTTTCTCAATGACTGCGTAGTTTTTCTCAGCTGACGACAATTTTCGGCTAATGTATTGAACTGGGTGGAGTTCATTGTTAAATTCTTGTAACAGACATGCACCTATACCGACCGAAGAGGCATCCGTGCAGAGCATAAAGGGTTGATCTGTATTTGGTAATCTGAGAATAGGTTCCGATGCGAATGCTTGTATTACTCTGTTTAGTGCTGTTTCACATTTTTCTGTCCACAGTAGTTTCTTATTCTTTTTGTCCGTTTTTGTTAAATTCGTTAGTGGCTCTATGATGGTGGCGAAATTGGGTATAAACTTCCTATAGTAGTTACACAGACCGATTAAGCTACGGACCTCTTTAATTGATGTCGGCACGTTTATGTCAAGTATTTTATTCACTGTAGGTTGGAGTGGCTTTTGTTGACCTTGTGAAATTGAGTGACCTAAAAATTCTATCTCTTCCATTCCGATCTCTATTTTGCTAGGTTTAGCAGTTAGTCCATGCTGCTTTAATATTTCCAGCAGTGTTTCCAGTCCTCTCACATGCTCTTGCCAGGTGTTGTGGAACAGACATATGTCATCCAAGTAGGATATGAGGTCGTCTCGACCTTGTAGTATTTTTCGCATGAGTCTGTTGAAGGTAGCCGGTGCGTTCATTAGCCCGAAACTCATGTACTTCCACTGGAACAAGCCAAATGGTGTTATAAAGGCTGTGAGGTGTCTCACATCTTCTTTTATTGGTATCTGCCAATAACCCCTGGATAAGTCAAGCTTTGTAAAGTATTTAGCCTGTTTAAGTTTAGCAAATAAGTCTTCTGGATTTGGCATTGGTTCTGCGTCTGGTATTGTAATGCTGTTCAGTTGTCTGTAATCAATACACAGTCTAAGGTCGTGGGATTTTTTCTTTACCAATACGATAGGTGCAGCATATGAGGAGTCGGAATGTTCTATTATTCCAGCTTGTAATAAATCCTGTATTTGGTTTTGTACGTTTTCTCTGTGATGTATGGGAATGTTGTATGCGGGCATTTTGGTTGCTCTAAGTGAAGTCAACTTAATATCATGGACTATTGTATCTGTTTTACCAGGTTGTGGGGACAGTACCTCTTTAAATTTTTCTAATATTTCCTTGATTTGTTTTTCGATTTCTGGCGGCATTCTGCCGATTTTTATATCTTGCCATGTTTCCTTGCCAGTAGGTAATGTGTATATTTTGCCGATCGAGTCTGTGTCATCTTCGTGTAACTCTGCGCAGTTTATTGTTGCCGTTTGTTTAATTTCCAGCTCTTCTGGTCTTAAGGTGTAAGGGCTCAATATATTTGTGTGAAACGTTTTTTTCTTCCCCTTTATTTCGACTTGGTAATCTATATTTGAAATTTTGGCTCTGATTGTGAATGGACCCTGCCATGC